TTGTGTCATCTATACGGTTCATCAACAAACTTTTAATTCATATGAGAATAAAAAAAAATTGTGGATTCGCCAAATTATATTGGGAAAACTACGGATCGCATCCTTTGTTATACATATCAAACAACTTAAACATTGGCACCTAGAAAACCCTTTACCTCATGACTGTCAAATGCGGCGCCGGAATGTCAAAAAGTCCAAAGCATTTTCCAGTGTTGTTTGCAGGGACAATATTGCCTACACAAAATCCAAGGACATAGCCGAGGGATTCAGTGTGGGGGAAACACTTGCGTGGAAGATAAAAATGCAAAAAATGTAAGTTGTAAACAGAAAAATAGTAATTTGAGTATATTTTTGTCGCTAATGCTAGAGAAAGAATTAATAGAAATAATTAAATCGCTGAAAAATACGTGGGATCTAATTAGAAAAACATAAATATTTGACTACGCCGATACCATATTTGGTTAATCTGGTATCCTCCAAGGGAGTCTTCCCAGACATTTTTAAGGAATCCGTTACTATCCCTCCCAGGTTCGAGAGACCAAATGTCGAATTGAAAAGTGTATTGAAATTAGAATAAAACAATTTTTAGAAAAAACGCCTCATTCAACACAAATGAATTTGGTTTTAGGAAAAAAGTAGGCACCGAAGATGAGTTGATCAAGGTAGCTGTCTGATCTTTTAATGACAGAAAAAAGTGTATTACTGTCTTTCTCGATATGGCCAAGGCATTCGACACTGTGTCGCACCATATGTTGCTGGAGAGACTTGAAGACTTAGGTATTGGAGGGCTAGTAAAAACAAAAAAAGCTTAAATAATACCTACAAGATAGAGCGCAAAAGGTGACATCCTGGGCTGCTTTCTTCCAGTCGGGTATGGTGTGCCAATCTTGTTTACATTGTATATGAATGAGATATTTTCTATTTTACCGAAATAATAATTGAAAAGAAACTGTCGCAAAGGCTGAAAAATTACTGGTAAATAGATGGCTTGATTCTAGCCCGCTGTCACTTAATATAGAGTAAACCCAATTTATTAGTTATTCCAAGACGAATGCTTGTGTTTCAGACTTTCAAAGAATAAAAATTCATAAATTTGACTGTTGCTATGACATGAATTGTAAATGGGATTTTTACATAAATTCTACGAAAAAGTTAAAATATTTAGGGGTAGTTTTTGATCAGAACCTTAGATGAGATGACCACGTCAATTATATCACTTTGAAAATTCGCAATTATTCCATATTTTTTTATATTACGTCAAAGTTTGTCCAAGAGTTCCTTTAGTAGGATATATAAATCTTTGGATGAAGCATTTTTATCTTATCGTGTATGTGTCTGGGGTGCTGCAGGGGATAAGGCTCTTCAACCGCTAGCAATTAGCCAGAAGCGTGGTTTGAATATAATATTATTTAAAAACAAACTATATGCTTCTAAAAAATTGTTTACTGAAAGTACCAAGTGTCGTCACAATCTACATTAAACCAGTCACCAGACTATTAAGTCCTTACAAAATTCGTAAAGAAACAATCAGCCATTCGGTAAAATCCAGATTTGTATCAATGCCAGTACCGATGGTATAGTTCACTACAGTGCAGAGGAGCCTTCTATTTGCAGCCCCTAGAATATATACCGCCCTTCCAATACATTTGTAAAGTAGGGAATATTCAAAAATTTGGAGGCTTATTAATTTCTGGTTGTTTAGTATAGACTATGACATTCTGGAAGTGATAAATTAACTGTGAATAAAATTTAATTTAATAATTTTAATTTAAGTATTCAATTGAAATATTTATATGAACTTAGCCATAACTAGTAAGGTAAGTTGCATTAGACTGAAGAAATGCGCGCACAAATTTCTCAAATTCATTGTGTATTTGATGTATATTTTTTGAATGTATTGTCTAATTGCTGAAATAAATGTAATTATAATTATAATTATAATTATAATTATAATTATGATTATTATGATTATTATGATTATTATGATTATCATTATTATTATTATTATTATTATTATTATTTTAGCGACAGGATAAATAGGTGAGCAAATTATAAAATCTGATCAATGCTGAATAATAAGAGTTTGAAAGAGACATGATAATTAATATTTATAAAGCTATAGTCAACACGTAAGCCGCCAATACGCAGAATCTGACATGTATAAATATAAATAAAATTGAAAAATAGGTAACAATTAAATGGTAATAAGTTCCATTTTTCAAGAATTTGTTTGTATTATTTTCTTCTAAATGCTATTGCTTTCCATTTTAACACCGCAAATTTTGTATGACACAAGATCTTCCCAGGGGGACGGTGGATGGCCAAGCATTGCCCGTCATCTAGCGATATACTTATGAATATCCACTATTTTCCCTAAGATGCACACGGTCGTTAGGGGGAGGGGGGGGGGGGGGTACAAAAGGCCCAACCAATTCTATTTTAACTTTTTGAAATATGAAATACGAAATTTACTTTTCCATGATAAATCGGATGTTTAGTTCTATCTAAGACTTCGAAAAATCGTAATTTAGGCATTGATCAATTTATTACTGGACCATCACATTTGAGCTTATACTATACGAATGTCTAATCCAAATGCACAACACAAAAACGGAGAACCATGTCCAAATGTCCAAATACCCCTGCTGCTGATAAGACCGACCAAATAAAAATAAAGGCAGTAATACGCCTTCTAATTCTTTTTCTTATTACAATAAGGTTAAGTAGTTTTTTTTGTGAACTGTTTACGAAGTGTTTTTGAACACCGCGCTATAAGCAGCCAAAAATATTATTCAATATCAGAATATATTCCAGACAGTACGTTCCCAACAATTCAGCTAAATATGGCTTGGAAATCATAACTCTCTAGAGGGTCCCCATCAAAAATGACATGTAAAGTCAGTTGATAGTTATAAGAATGTGACTAACTGATACGAATTAAGGAAAGATCCGGGCAAGCTGTAAGAATGAAATATGGCCGAACAGGTCCGTGCTTAAAATTTAATTTTTGGGGTTTTGTTAGGAAAGATAATTAACAATATTTATTTATTTATGTATGTATTTATGTATAAATCTAAAATAAAATTACAAATTATTTTTATTACCTACTTAAATTACTTAAAATCATTCACATAATATATCAGTATCACTATCTCTATCACGCCTGTCCTAATTATTATTTGTTCTATATTATTTGCAATATGGATATACGATTGTTCGGGGAAAAACATTGTTACGACGAATGACAGATTTCAGTTTTGTAGGTTCAAGCTTTGTCAACTAATTGCTTTTTGGTATAATCTTCGTGAAAATAAATGTCATTATACATGTAGTTTTGGATTGTTGCTTTTGTGTCGCATGAGGAAGGGGTTTTAGTGAACTGTCTACTGATAACTTGCATTGTCCATTACAATGACGCTATTAGGAGGAATGTTTGGAACTAGTTTGTTTTTCAACCAACTTTCAAATAAATCAGCGGTGGTGTCTTCATGGTAATCCAGAGAAGAATATTTAATAATTTTCGCAGACAGAGAAAGTCCTTTTGGAATCCAACCATCTTTATGCAAAATAGTTATTCTTTTACTTCTTTTTGATGGCGCGTTTGTTTTACACTTATCAGTTGAGTCAACCCAACCCTTTTCCAGGGTATCATAAGTGTCGAAGCAGGTTTCATCCAAGTAAATAATTGGCCTTTGTTGTTCTGTGTAAATCCAAATTTTTTCTAGATATTCCAGTCGCCATTTCCGAATTCTAAAAAATTCCATTATAACTTGGCTTTTGTCAATTTTTTTAAATCAAAAACCCATGTGTTGAATACACTTCCACACCACATTTAACACCGGTTTCATTTTTTTCAAGTCTCCTAATTAAGATGTCTAATGTCGGCACGCTTTGTTCCTCGTATAACTGGTAAATTTTACGCCGTATTGTATCTTGATCACTTTCATCTACACTCGAGAAAATGTCAGCATCGCTTCTTTTTTTGCGTCGCTGAAATGGGATTATTCACAATTTTCCATACAGTTGATGTTGGAATTTTCGTCAATGTGGCCGCTTCTTCTAAAGATGCTTGCGTGCTGGCACCACGTTCAATGAGAGTCAAATAAACATTGTTCATAACTTCCTTAGTTTCAATAGAATAGCGTTATCTACATTTGGGCGGGAGCATCTCCTGAGATACTCTAGACTCGCACATATTTTGCATAATTCACACACGATTCAACACACGCTGTATTACACACGAAATAAGAATGATTACTAATAAACTTAAACTATACCAAACCAAAGAATATTAAACACAGGTAGGTGTAAAATTATTTTCTATTACGGACCGCAATTTTACCTGAATTTAAATTCCGAAACTTTAGGTAATAAGCTTGTTGCATTGTATGTTAATCACCACCCTTGGATAATCCCATTCAAAAGCAACTGGTCACTTTCTTATGTCTATGAACAGACCATAACTTTATTGTCTGCCTAAGGTCCGTGAAACCTATTGATGTGTGGAACCTCCAGAAAAACTAACTGTAGGCCCCTTACTGTGTTTTTCAGAAAAATAGACACAGGTGGGATTAACAGGCCGCGTTATATTCAAAGAATCAAAAAAAGTTGAATAATTGAGGCGAATGGGCTACCTTCAAGATTTGCGTATGCGACTCATTGCCTATCATTCGGACAAATGGCCTAGGCAATGAAGAAAAAAAATAGCAAAGTTCTGCACCACCAGTCACAATTTCTGCAAAAACTAGACAATCCCTCTGTCCTAGAAGCGGAGACATTAAAAAACTTTTTTGTTGTCAAAAATGCAGCATTATTATTAAATTACATTATTCCAGTGTTTTTTAGAACATCGAGTAATGAAAACATTTTGACTACCATGAGTGTTGCTTTATTAAACTAAGTTACCTAAAGTTAAGTTTTATACGTTCAGTTGTGTACCTAAGGGAATTCTTGTTTCAATAAAAACCCGAGTATAACTTATAATTAGTTAGTTAGGTTACCTTGTACACATCTAACTGGCCGCAAAATACGTCGAATTGATTGTATAGTTCCTGAAGCATATTAATCACCATCATCGGGGTGGCAGTGGAGCAAATCGAAGTGAAGCCGACGATGTCGCTGAAGAGCATCGTCACGTCTTCGTGCGTTTTTGCCTCGATCGTTTCACCTGAAATTTTATAGAGCAGAGTATACGTCGTTCGCATTAATGGGATGTTTCCGGTTAAATTAAGGACTATTCGGGAATTGTTTGCGAGTTTAAGCGTCTGGCGACGTGGCCGAATGCTTTCCTTATTGCTTTTGAGGGACAAAAACGTTTCGAGATTCTCAGAAGAAATTGGATTTAATTATACCGCAGAATGCCGTCTTTTATTTAGCCCAAAGATCTCTGATTGGAACTTTTGCGGGTCAGTATTGCAAAAAAATATGCATACTCAGTTTGTCATAAAAATTTCATAAATTCCTATGAAATAATTTGCCATATTGGAGTTGTTAGAGGAAGTTCACAATCTCGAAAGTATTGGACATTCTGCTGGTTCAGTATCGTTTATCCTATTAAGTTAAAACATATACAAAAAAACATGCCAGAAGTTACATATTTTCTAATTTTTAAAGTATCAATTAATGACAAAAAGCTGTTTGTCTTGAACTGAGGCAAGTGGCCATGGCAAGGCATTTTGAAAGCGGTCTGATTTGTCATCGCACTTAAACTATAACAGTCAAATATCATAATAGTTTGACATATCAGAATAAAAAATTGTACCACTCACATTTTTGTATTAATTTCAGTTGTGCATATAGGGTTTCCAGCGAAGTTCTTTAATTAAAATGATTTCATTTATTATGCATTCTATTTTAAACGATTGTCCATAGTGAACAATGCGGTACAGAAAACTAATTATTCCGTAATTATCTTTACAACATATGAAATTGACAAAGCAATGGAAACAACGGGTTTGGATTAATTCAAATTGATAATTGAATCATTTAGTTTAATAGCTTTTTCATCGTTTTACATAAATTTATCTCTGTTTCTTAATACCCGTAAGTTATAAACCAAGATTGGAAGGTAGTTAACCTACCTGTATCTAAGTGTCTGAATTTGTTGCTAAGACACGGATTAGCAAAATTGCACTTTCTGGAAATCAGAAAATGTATATCTGAAAATTTAAGGTCAAGAAAGTACAGGAAAGAATAGGTAATAAATGAAAATGAGAAGACTGCCACCAGTTGGATAAACTTATGTCTGAAATGAAAAAGGATGGTTTCGTTCCCCCCGAGGGTGAGAAGAAATAGTGGAACGCTATGAAGGAAATGAATTTTCGTTGTAAAAAATCCTTTTAATAAAGAATATATTTATAAAGAAATTATCTAATGACCACGACTATATCTGAAAGCAGTTCGAAGGAAAAACAGGAACATCTATTATCTGGAAGAAACAAATGTTAGATCTCATTCCTCCTGTTTAAGTTATGGATAATGCTACAATTCAAGAAAATCCGAAAAATTACCCAAGTCCTATTTTAAGACAAGGAGTTACTATAGATTGTAAACATGAATATTACACTATTTTTAAAATGATATACGTTGAAACCATGTTGCATGAGGGAATAAAGACAAGTAAATTGTGAAAAATGCTTTGTATAGATGTAATTGGCTAATTTGCAAATTTGTGAGTCGTATTTTATATTTCATATTCCACATTTTTTTGCCCAAATGGTTAATAATTAAATTATGGTTCTGCCACGAGCTGCCATTGCTTCCCTCATGGTGTAATTTTAAGATCTTTTTGGTGTACTCCTTTTTCTTCGATCGGGAGGAGTCCACTCGAATACCCTTCTTAGTCATCGCTCGTCTGGCATTCTTAACAGATGCCCAAACCCCTACAAACCACGCTTCTTAAATCTCTGTATCACTCATAACTTGTGAGGTTCGTTTTTCTCTCTAGTCTCGATATGCCCGCGTCTTATCGCTGTTCTGTTCAGTGTTAACTGGCAAGTATTCTGTTTTTTAAGATTGAGCTACAGATCCCATTTTGCATATTCATTCTATAGTCCTCTTAGCCTAAAATCTTTAGAATTTCGTGCCAAAACCACTTGTCATATGACAAGCTTAATGTAAAAATATGTTCATTATTTCTCCAACGAAAACATTGAAAAGGAGCCGTGATAGGCTGCACCCCTGCCGGTTTTGACAACTTTCTTCCAATTTTAAAATAGGATAAATTTTCTCTAAACAGTTTCTGGATCATGAGATAAGCGGCCTCGTCAGTCCGACGAGAGCCTCCCACAGAAAAACCCTAAGGAAAGATTTGTAAGCCTTTTCTATATCAATGAAGGCCAAATGAACCTCCTGATCGACTGCTTCATCTTTTCCGTGATTTGTTGGAGTACAGGTACATATTGTAACAAGTCCGGCCGGGCACAAAGCAACTTGGATACTCTCAAATTCTGTGACCTGTATTACTTCCAAGTCTTTCCTGTAAGGCTTTTCCAAATAGTGGGCTGATTAAGACTAAGACCATTGTAACCCCCTGCATCTGGCTTCTTAAATACTGATATCAGCTCCTAGGGTAGTTTGTTCAGTCGGTAGCAAGAATGAAATAAGTTTTGCAGTCTATTAGTTTACTCACTTTAGAAGCTCGGCTGGGTATTACCTGACGTCGGTGAGTTAGGTAATGCTTCTTGAAGAGAGAGAATGCCTTAGTTGTCTGTTTAGTGGTTTTTCCAAATGTAATCTTTTGTTCTTTGATATTCAGATCGCTTTGCTACCAGGAGATTCTCATAATGTAGCTTTCATTTATCCATCGGTATTCTCTGGCTTTTCTGATTGGATTCGTTGGTCTTGTTTTGTTTTTTAATTTCACGTCATACTCCGAGTTCCTGCTATTTCCCACAAGCCATACAAAACAGTACAAAAATCAGCTTAAAGATTTAAGAAAAGAACCAAAAACGGCTAGTTATATATATTAGAGTACTTGGACCTTTATTCAACTACAGTCAGATTCCAGGAAATTTCTGTCGAGGAATCTGGAACTTAGTTATTTAGTGTTGAAACCTGCAACTTCAAACATTCTAATGTAACATAGTGATAATCTCAAACTATGATTAAGGACTAATATCTCTCTTTTTAGTCCATTTCCCTAAGAAGGGATTAGTGACTATGATGCTCTTGAAGCAGTGCTTATGGTATTGTGCCATTCCGTTCTATTCTGAGCCATGATTACGGTTTTATGAAGGCCATAGCCGATAAGATCCTTGCTTTGATCTATCCATCTTTTGGGTGACCTTCCGCGCGGCCGTCTTCCACCTACCTTTCCTTTGACTATTAGTAGTTGCAGCGAGTCCGTTCTTCTTGCAATATGGCCAATGAATTTTAGAAAGCTTCGATTTATCATTTCTGACAGATTCAGTTCAGTGTTTAGTTCTTGAAGAATGGACTCATTTGTACGGTGGGCCGTCCATAAGTGGCAATCGGGAACACAAGTGAACTCAACAATCTTAGTTTGGTGTTTTTAGTGATGACTGTATCTCTCCAGATCTTACTTAACTTAGTTACAGCTGTTCGAGCTAGCGCAATTGTTCGATTTATTTCACATTCACATGCACCGCTATTGTCAATTAAGGATCCCAAGTACAGGTACTTATTCATCCAGCTATGTTTTTTACGTTGGGTTGGTTCTGGTTTTGCCGGTCAACAATCATGACATTAGTTTTGTTGGGATTTAATTTCAATCCAAATTTTGCACTAGTTTCCTGGAGATGGTGCATAATAAATTCCATTTCTTCTACACTGGATGTTATGATTAGTGTGTCGTCGGCATATCTCAGATTGTTGACTTTTCTTCCCCCTACAGATATGCCACTCTGCCAGTTATCCAGAATGTTCCTCATTATGTATTTGATGTATATGTTGAACAGTAAGGGCGAGAGAACACATCCCTGTCTGACACCCTTCATCGCTTGAAACCTGTTTTTTGATGTGACACCGTTGATTCTTATCAGACCGTAATTATGTTCATAGAGCTATCGGATGAGTATTATTAAGTGGTCAAGGACCCCCATTTCTTTGAGTATTTGCCACAGTTTTGGCCATTTTACCAGCCTTGGAGTAAACAGAGGTACATTGTGATGTTAAATTCTCTAGCTTTCTCAATTAGTTGTCGTACATTTCCTAGTTGTTCTCTCGCACCCTCGCGGCCGGTTTGTTCTTCTGCAATCTGGAGTAGTAGATATGATCTAAGTCTGTTATTAATGATCTGTAGGAGAATTTTGCATGCATGGGGTATTAATGCAATCATGCAGTAGTTATTTCAGTCTGCTGGGTTACCCTTTTTATACAGTGGCATATAAAGTGAGCTGCACCATTCGCCTGGCCAAACTCCTGTCTTCCACATTCGATTACATAGAAAATGTAAAACATCAACTACTGGCTGTCCTATTGACATTAGTATCTCTGCAGCTATGCCATCTATGCTTGGACCTTTGTTGTTTTTGAGGCTCTTTAAGGCGCATTCAGCCTCCGATTTAAGAATCCTGGCTTCGTGTTCAGTAAGTGTAGAATGGTTTACGGTGTTGGAGGGTCCATCATCGTTGTAAAGTTTATTGCAGTATTTCCGCCAGACTTCAGCAATGCCATCCGGATTGTGTGGGAAGAAACTCACAGTTCCCTAGATTAGTTGGTTGCGGAGTGCCTTTCTATTTCCATGCAGATTTTGTGAATGTGAGCGTTTTTATCCTGTCTACAGCTAATTTTTATTTCTTTATTGATGTTTTTCAATTTTAACTCTTTATCAGATATTGTTGCTGGCAAGGTTTTTAGGTGTTTTCGTGATTCCAGCAAACTGACAGTGTTATCAGATAACCAAGATTTAGATTTTATCTCTATCTTTCCAGGTGTACAGCTTTTTTTGACTATTTCATTTATCCAGGCTCTAGTATCATTCCACATTTCTTGTGCATCATCTTTTTTTCTAGGTATTTCGACAGAGCTCAGTGCTATCAATATTTTCTCAGTAGAGGGTATTGGACACTTTGTCGTCTTGTTTAATTTCACTGATATAGAATGAATATAAATAAACTAACAACCTTTCAAATAATGTTTGCAGTTGAACCCAGACTGGGTTCGCGTTTATGCTCTCGTGTTGTGGAATAATATGAGAGGGTCGCT